CACAGCCACCCCACGATCAGCAATCACCACCCTGATTGGTCAACAGCCACCAACACTCCCATCAAGAGGCAAGACCTTCCATCAGCAAAAAGATTATTACTTGCCGAAAGCTCAGGTCATAATTAAAATTTTTTTGGCAATAAAGTATTTTTAAATTAAGGTATGTACATTGCTTTTGAAGACATAATGCTATTGCACACTTGATAGACTATAGTGTAAACTTTTATGTGCACTGGGAAATTAAAACATTTATTTGACTTGACTTACTGCAATATGTGCTTTGTTGTGGTGGTCTGCCGCAGAACTGCAGTGTTTCTGAGGTAAGCCTGCGCTCAGTTCAGGACTTTCCCGCCCCACTTCGTCCCCCACGGATGTTCCTGTTGGTGGCCGTCAGGCAGACTTGTCCTTGTCTTCCGTCCTCCCTTGTGTGGCCACGTCGGGTCCTGGTAGTTGTGACCCGCTCTCCCTTGCATCTCTCCAGATAGTCTTCTAACCTTATCCTTCTGGCGCTTCCTCACTATTGTTGACATTGCCTCCATCTTCACAGCGACCTCAAGCCCTCTCCCCTCTTTTCTCCTGTTCTTTCACACCATCCATCCACTTAGACCTTTACAAATTATTTTTCACTGCTGCCAAACTCTACTCAAGTTGGATTGTTTACTCCTGGATGTGCCGTGCACCCGTGCACCCCAGAGCCTCTGCTTATGCTGTCCCCTTGGTGGAAGTGTTCTCTTCCATCCTTCCTCCTATTTCTTCCAGTGCCTTAAGTTTAAATTTACCCTTTCTTCCCTCTTCTTAGGCCACAGTCATGCTCACATTTCTGTCTAAAAAAACTTCCTTGACCTTGCTCTCACTTCTCTTAAAATTGCTTTTACTTTGTCACTATCCACTTTACTCTTTCCTACTTGCCTTTTGTTTCCATTGCTTTCCAAAAACTCTTCTTTTAAAGATTGACAGTCATCTCCTAACAGTATTTTTAAGAGGCTACATTGTATGGTCGTAAAAAGCTAGACCGCTGGGGCCAGCCTGCTGGCGTTTGAATTCTGGCTCCATCACCAGCTAATAACTATGTGACCTTGAGCAAGCTACTTAACTCCATGTTCCAATTTCTTTATCTGTAAAATGGGAATAATATTACTACCTACCATTATAGGGTTGCTTGTAAGGATTAATTAGGTTAGTATATGTAAAGCTCTTCTAAGGATGCCTGGCAAAGAGTATGCACCAAGTATTAGTGTTTTATTTGTTTAAGCTCTTATTTTTTAGCCTTTGTAGCCTCCGTGGTGTTTGATATGGTTGACCATTTCCTCTTCTTCATTGTGTTCAAGCTCAGACTAATTCATCTTGGGGCCTTTTATCTTTGTGACCCTCTTTGTGGTCTCTTCATGTATCTGAACTTCACTTTCTTATACCTTTTCTGGATAATTTTTCCTTATGGTAATTCACCACCATAGTTCCCACTCTTATATGAATGTCACCCCAAATTGTATTTCTTGCCCTTCTTTCTTAGCTCCAGTCCTGCACTTCCAATGTACCTATCCAACATAATCTCCCTCTCAAAATCTGCTCCTCGCTGGATTACTTTTTGTTAACGGACCTGCGGCAGTGTATCATAGTATTGGGGCCAGGGGCATGTTGTGTCCGAGGCCTTTGAAGCTCAGGAAAGCTTTCTAGATCAGTGTAGACTGGCACATTCTCCTTGTCTGGGATACTTTTTTCACTGAACAAAGCTGGATGTGGAAAGGGATGGGGAGACACAGTACTAGCAAGTGCATTCCTTAGTTTTCTTAAGCGGAGAACGAGGCAAGTTCATAAATCGCTTACCTCACAAACCCAGGGTAGGATGCCTAGAAGCTGTTGTAAACTTGATTTTTGAGGGTTTTTTTTTTTTTTTATAAGTTGTAGGTATCCCCCACCGCCCAAAAGCAGACCTAGGTAAATAAGTTAAATTTATGTCTCACAAAGCAGGGGCATATAGCAAATTAACTAGATTAGAGAACAGGGCATGATTTTAATTAAGCAGTGGTAGTTTTTAGTGTATTTCTGAGTTGTCTCAGTACCAAAGGGCAAAGCTGAGAAAGATTTCCCTGTTTTCTGAAATGCAATTTCTTTTACTTGGAATAGAAATTTTAGACAAAGATTTCCTCTAACTTGCTGGCTTGCCAATAAGACGTTACATTTTATATTAATGGTAATTAGCGGTCATATAGTTATTTGAGTGTGGGTTAACAGTTTAGGGTGTTTAGAAATCAGACAGTTGGAACCATTCTCATGCTAGGTTAGTGTGCCTTGCAATACTTGGACACATTGCATTCTTCCTGTTAACAAGGACTCTATTTAAACAAAACAGCTTCATTCCCTAATGGGTTTTGATCTTTAGGGATTAAACCCATGAGGACCATTAACCTAAGGAATGTAACTCAATTAGCTGTAAATGATTTAAAATAAACTAATAGATTCTCATTTTGGAGAGCTTGGTGTCTTGCATTCCTTAATTTTATCTCCATCCATCTAATGAATAGTAAATGCATTCTTTTGGTAAATGGTTCACCATTGTCACAGTTGCCATCAGTCATCATTTTTTTTTTTTTTCCTGTAACAGGTTTATTACCTGATGTTTTGGAAGTTTTTAGGATAATTTGACTTTGATGATTCTTTTCTATACCAGATCTTTTCTTTGCTGCTTAAATCTGACTTGGCTTCACAATGTCAGACAATATTCTTTATATGAGTAGGTGTGTTAAAAACTCCGTTTCCAGGACACATGGAAGTGCGCTGATATTCTTACCTAGCAGATCCTTGCTTGGACCAGTATTGTTTCCGGCTGCTTAGTTCTGCTGCCCCATGATAGGTCCTCTCTACGGTTTGGTGCAGAAAAAAATGTTACAAGATATTAGATCACTGAGAACAAATTTCATATATAACTTTAGGATTCAATGATCCAAGGTGTTGTAAACCAGTAGGCATTAGTTTTCTATTTGATGGTTTTCCCTGCATCATTTCAGTTGAATTTTATATCTTGGCTTTTGCTAATCTTAGTTGGCTTTTACTGAATGTTTTCCTACATTTTGGGTTGGCTGTTCTTTTTGTTTTCATTTTTCACTTTGTCTCTTTTCTTCTTTCTTTTAATGTCCACTCAAGAGCAAAAATGTAATAAAAACTTGTATTTATTTTTAGCCCCATGGGTGTAATAAATTTAAACCTAAACAAGTTATATCTAATTATAGGACTGCTTTCTAGAGAGGATGTAGACACACTCTTAAAAATGATTGAGGTTAAAACTTATTTGAAGCTTGGATTTCTCTTGTTTTCTCTGTTATGGATTGACTGTAAAAGGGGAAGTGTTACTGTACTCTGCTTCTGTATTAGTTTTATTTATTCTGTCTTTTGTACTTTGAGTAAGTTAAAATTTACATAAAAAATGGCAGAGGAGAGTGGTGCCTGAGTGGCTCAGTCAGTTAAGCGGTTAAGCAGTTAAGCATCTGCCTTCAGCTCAGGTTATGATCTTGGGGTTCTGGGGATGGAGCCCCTCATCAGGTTTTCTGCTCAGTGGGGGGCCTGCTTCTCCCTCTCCCTCTGCTCCTCCCCCAACTCGTGCCTGTGCACTCTCTCTCTCTTTCACTCTCCCTCAAATAAGGAAATAAAATCTTTTAAAAAATGGGAAAGGTGGTAGTAAACATCACATTTTGCTTATCTCTCTGTAGCATCTCAAGGAAGTAGAGCAGGACCAGAGAATTAGTTGGCGTTTGAGATTTTTTAATTTAGCATTCATTTTTTGAGAGTGTCATTACAGTGTTCAGGGGCAGCTTATTTTAAAATTGAAAGTCATTAACTGAGACTTGCAGTTTTTTGGTTTTGCCATGAAAATGATCTTCCTCCTCTTGAATGAGTGGAGTTTATGATTTTTTGGCTGTATGCTTGGAGAATTGAGAGTAGAAAGGCCTTTAGAGAACATCTAATGCAATACCGACTTTTTAGGTGAGGAAACTGAGATTCAGCAAGCTGTCCAGAGTTATGCGTTGTGCTCACAGAATCAGGACCGAGAAAGGATCTTTTGATTACTTCTGAGCTGCTCTGAGGAGTCCTAGCATCTCAAGAGGCAGAGATGTTTGTCATCTTTGGCAATTTACCAGTTTCTCCCAAAGCAAGAAATTAGGGGTCTAGTTTTGAAGCACTTAGCACAAAGAATTAAATGTACCAACTTGAAAATACACATTGATTTTGATTTTGTCTGCTTTTACAATCCTGGTAGGTAGATTTGTGACTGAAAGGGAGTGTAAAACTTCTAAGTAATTAACTCAGTAGAGAGAAATTACCAAAATAGATAGTGATTCTAGGTCATTCTGCCCCCTAACTCTCCTTCCCCAAACACACTGAGAATTTACAAGATCCATTGCAAGATTCATATTCATACTAGATATTAGGGTGATTTATGATATATTTACTATTAGATAAGGAATCCTTGCCCTTGTGGAGTTTTGGATTTGAGGGAGTTAATATAGAATTAGAGAAAGTATACTGTATGATTGTATATTTGCAATAAAATGCCTTTTTGAAATTTGTAAGTATATTTTATGGTAGAAAATCACTAAGGATAAAGGAATTCATTATGATATTCATTTAGTCTCATTCTATTTGATGGATTTTACTACTTGAATTTTTCATTTTTATTGTTTTAAAAAAGTTTTACAAGTTTGTTTTTTTGGTTTCTTTTTTTTTTTAGATTTTATTTTTTTTAGGAAATCTCTGCACCCAACATGGGGCTGAAACTTGCAACCCCAAGATCAAGAGTTGCATGCTCTTCTGCCTGAGCTCGCCAGGCACCCCTGTTTTTATAAGTTTTTGATAATGGGAAATAGTCATTTTATATTTCTGTTTTCCCTTTGGACATGCTAATTGAGTCAGTTTGGGTTTATTGGGCAGTTCCCCAGTCTGAATATTATTTTATTAAATTAAAAAAAGGCTTACTGAGTTATGATATTTTCTCTTTTCTTTTGTAGCCAACACATATCTCTTTATGGTACAAGCTCGAGGAATAATGTTGAGAGAAAATGTGAAAACAATAGGGCATATGATCAGGCTCTACACAAATAAAAACACTACCCTCAATGGCACAGGTAAGATTGCTTGCTTCTTAAGCGTCCTTTGTTTCTACTCTTTACCTTTGTAGGCAAAAGTAAGCCCGGTCTCTCAGGCCCTGGGTCTGCCTCTAAGACGCCTTCCTGTTAAAGATAAAGGTATTCCCTCCTGAGCGTCCTGGGACGTTCCTTTATTGCTCGAGCCAGGGCTTTCCATGTTTTAGGATATGTAAAGGTGTTCTCACCGAGGTGATGGGGGTTTTGTCCAAAGATACTTAAGTTAATTCTTTATTTTAAAGTTAATTCCTGCAAACATAAAATACAAAAAGCAGCTTGTGCTTTTTTCAATTCCCCTGTCATAGTTAAGAAAAATCAACCACAAAGAGAAAAATTTATCCATATTAGTCATTCTGCCATCTCTCTTTATGCCCATTGTAACTCCTAAAATGTTTTTCCAACTATGTTTAGGAAATACTTACTGTTTTTAATTATAGAAGATTCTTAATAATTTTATGGCCTTTTTAGGGGGCTTAAGGAGAAATTATATAAAAGTGGAAATCCGTAGCTGCTCTTGTCTTTTAAAAATATTATCTGGAAGTATAGTGTCCATCAGAATCACGTGAGGTTTTAAAACCAAGTAATAGGCCAAAGTAGTGATTGAATGAAGGCAGAATTGATGCAAATAGATTGAACTATGATTTAAGAATGCTCAGCTTCCCATGGGGCAGTGTTTCTGCAGTGTCTCCTGAAGTATTATTCGATGTTACTTAAAGGTTTCAGTAACTGGTTGTCACTTCTTGCATCCTCTCTATTCTCATTTTACACAGTTAAAGATTTCATTCCTGTCAACATTTCGCCATTGTGCCACTGTAAATGACAGATACACACACACACATACACACACACACACACACAACTAATGGGAAGCCCCTATCTGCCAACCATAGATATTTTTTCTTAAAATGTATGTTAAGGTGAGTAATAGTTTACCCTTCTAAAAATTCACAACTGTATCAAATTGATTCTTAATTTAATTTCGCACATGCTTCTGCAAAATCCATTCTGGTCATTTGCCTGATTTGTTTTATGATGCCACAAATCAAAACACTCTTGTTTTCTCCCTTTAAGTTGAAAAAAATTTCTTTTAGAAAGAATTTCATTGTACCTGATATTTTAATAGTATTGTAAAAATTTCATTAATTGGTCTTCTGCTTTAATTGGTCTTTGGAATAGTAGGTCGATGTTAGGAGCAGTTTAAACATTATAAAAGCTTCTTCAGGACTTGTCCTGGTTGAATAAGTTGATCGTGAAAGTGTTCATTAAAAGTTCACTCAACTGAACAGAAATACTCAGCATCCTTAGATTACTGTATTCGTATAAGGGAGTGCTGGACATCTGTGCATAATCGAGTTCCTTTCTTGGGGCATGAATAAGTTTTATGTGGGAACTCAGTTGAGCTTGATTAGGAGAATTGATTACTGGGTCAAGACAAACTCTCCCCCCGACCTACACCCCACAACTGGAAGACAAGAAAAAGGGAAATTCTCTTTTCCCCTTACCAACTCATAGTTTCAGTACTGACCAAACAACCACTACCTACTTTGATTAGAGTTGGCTTACTTTTATGAACCTTTGAAAACTTTTCTCATGGTTCCTTTGCTGGTGGTAAAACTGTTCTCAGGAGATAGTCCATCAGCTAGGAATTGGGTTTGGTTGTAAGAGAGTCCTGGCTGCAGCAGCTTAAGCCCATGAGACTCTATGTTCTAATGTAAAAGAGATCTGCAAGTTGGATGTCTGGGGCCGTGGTGGAGAAAGTCTCCACACGCCTTCCATCTTCTGCTCTGTCATGGAGTTTTATAGTCTTCGAAAGTTGTTGTGGGGCTCCAGTCTTTCTATTTGTACTTGGGTTAGTAAGGAGGAGGAAAGGAAGAGAGAAGAAGAACAGAGGGACCCTTTTAAGGAGACTTCCCAGAAGTTTCACATGGTATTTCTGCTTCCATTACATTGGCCAGGACTTTGTTGTAGGGACTGTAAATTACAGTCTTTGAGCTGGGTACACTGGTGCTTTGAATGAAATTGGGGTTCTGTTACCTAAGGAGAAAGGGAAAATGGAGTTTGAGTAGGCAACTGTGAGATTCTGCTGTGTTCATGTATATTGAATGATTCATGTAGTCAGTACTCTTACCTAGATACTTGGAGACACAGCATTAAGAAGAACATCCTCTCTCTGTATGAGGATCTCAAGGCTTTGAGAGAGTTGGAAGCATACATAGTTACTTATAATGCAGTTGTTTATTTCTGCACAGACTTATATAGGTATAATCTGTCAACAAGGAGATAATGGCCAATAAGGTGCTAAGAGCTAATTGAACTCTAGGGGAGACTTGATTAACATGTACTGGCTCATTTAAAATTTAACACTTGATGGCAATAGGTTGTGATATTTCTAAGTACATTTGATTTCAAAAAGGGGTTTTTAATCTTGTACCTGACTTTCTGAAGCACCAAGTGTAAATAGATACTACATATAATATTTTTGCAAAGAAATCACATACTCTTATAATCAAATGATGCTTTGCCTTGTAGCTATGGAGTTAGTCAAATTAAGGAAACAAGATGTAATCAGTGAATAATTACCGAAGCAGATGATAAGGGTCATGCAGTGTTAGAACTGGTAGGTTGGTTAGAAATAGCTGAGCACACTTCCTCATTTGATGGCTGTGTGGTCCGAATCCTCAGACACTGCCAGACTGACACAGCAAGCCAGGGGTAAACAGACTAGAATTCTCACTGAGTTTCTGTACCTGCTTTAAGCTGCCCTTTGCAGGAAGAACAAAGCCCTTGAGAGTCCAATTTGGTGCGATTCTCCTTTTCCTATAAGTGATATAAGTTCCAGTGAGAGCTGAGGAGGGGACCTGTCCAGCAGTTTTCATTCTGTGTTTCTCTTTTCTTCAGGTGTGGCTCTAGAAAAGAGGAAGAAGTTTTGGGGGCCCAGAACTCATTGTGTTTTTATCCATCCATTCATTAGATGAAATAATGTCTACATTTTAAAGCAGTTGTGGCAGATCTGTCTCAAATGCATCTATCATGCATAACCTTTTAAAACTCCTGGTTTTGAAAGCAGTGGTTATACTTGATGGACCCAAGCACTTTTATGGGAATAATGATTTTGTGGGTTTATTATAGTGTAGTCTCCAAAAACTTAAATTATTGTTGGCTGAATGATCAGTTGTGAAGTGTTCATTTACAGTAAGTTTTTACCATGTTGTAGATACTTTGTTAGATACTGGAAATCAAAGGCAATTTGATTTAAAGAGGTATTCAGACTAGTGGCAGGGGTGGGTGGATAGACTTACACATAATACATTGGGATGACATAAGCACCACTGGACACAGTACCCAAGGAATGCAGAGACTTTTCTGTAAGTCTGGCAGTGAGTTAATCCTTATGATTATTTGTAATGATTTAGCCAAGCATAACACGTTTAGGTCCAAAACTTTGTATTTAAAGGAAGTGAATATACTGTTATTCCACGTCTTTGAGTTTGTTGTTGTTGTTGTTTTTTTTTAATTTAGTCCTTTAAAAACTGATCAAAGTGATACATGGGTTCTCTTGTGAAAGACTCAGTCATTCTAGCACTAAAATAAAAAGTGAAACAGTCCTCTAGGTCTTCTGCTGCCACCAGCCTCCCCAGGGGGAACTTCTGTTAACAGTTTGTTTTGCAGAAATATCTAGAGAGCTTACAATTTCTGTGAGTTGGATGTAGATTTATAGAATCATAGCATATGGCTAAGAGAAGAGGCCCAAACATTAATTACAAGAAATAATAAATTATGCGAAGTAAGAAAATACTCTTATCTAAAGTTATCTACATGACATTAAGAAATACTTGAGAATTTTGAGAATGTTAATATTTATCTGCCTCAGGATTATAAAAAAATGAACCTTCAGAATACATAAAGCCCAGGGACAACCTTATTTATCTTCTGTTTTTAGAGCCTACAAATGCATGGACTATACTGTCTACCTAATATAGTAGGAGTCCCCATAAATGCAGAAAAATTTTTTGAATATAACTTGAAATTTGATTTATATCTAGATATATTTTTAAAAAGCATCTTAAGGAAAGAATCAGAACTTTAATGGACTTACACTTATTTTATGTTCAGTATCTTTAAATCTTTCAGATGTATATGGGGGCCATACAGAGTATGGACTACTAGAGGGGTGTCTATGCTCTTGGTGTGTCCCTGGGCTTACAAAACAATTACTGTCCACCGAACGCCCCCACCCCTTTGGCTTGGAGGATTTTCCTGTGAAGTGCTTTCTAGGGCTGCTCTGGAGAGAGCTCTTGGGAGGATTCTGTACTGGGGCTTTCCCACTTTCCCATTTCTTGGAATAGGCCTTAGCGGTTGTACATCATTTGGCCCTCCTTATCATCTTGGGGTTTCCTGGCAACAAATACACTTATCTTAAAACCTTCCCCATGCCCTGCCAAATTCATCACTGGGATTTCCATGCAGTCCTTTGGAATTGGACCTTCTCCTCCAGCTTCTGTCTCCTCATTGGCACCAGAACCCATTACCATCTGCAGAGCAGCCTCTGCAGGGTCCCTTCCAGCAGGCGTGCCTTCGCTCGGAAGCGCCGCCCTAGAGCCCAGGCTGCACCCCCTGTCAAGTCCATTTTGATGATAGTGAATATCTATGTCAGGCAGAAGGTTTGCAGGGTCAGTGTTTAGTGTTCTTTGACTCTTCTCATATACCTCATATTCAATTGCCAGGATTCTACCATCTTTCCCTAGGGAGAGGGTTTAGCTTTTACAGTTTAGTAAGGTGTGTGATTTTTACCTTTCGCCTTTCGCTTGCTGATCACTGGCAGACAGGCCTCTCTTTCAAGTCATATGCCTGTTCTCTTTCTTATCTCTGCCTGCAGACCAGTTCAGATAGGAATAACTCCATCAACAGAGCAGATTACCAAGGTTGAAAGGATGCCTTTGCATTTTCCTAAAGTGTCTGCTAGAGCTTCATTTCCTGTGGGTACGTGGTTTATGATCCAGGACACAGACACTCGTTTAATCAGCTCTTTCCATGTCTTGTCTCTTACTGCACGTTGGTCTCATTCTCTTTGGCTTCCTCTGACATAGAGGAAACTGGCTGGTCATGGTTCTCAGACTTGCATCTCAGAACCTTGTTCCAGAAAGGGCTGAAACATGAGCTTTTTGGTTCCAAGTTCAAAATTTCTAAGGTTCTGAATGTCCCGGGTTAAGTCATGTGCTCGGCTCTGAACCAGTCACTCAGAGCTCCAGCCATTGAATAGGTATATGGGCCTGGGATTGTTCTAAGCAGTTTGTGCATTTCTCTTATGGAAATCTGAAAATGGCTACATGCGGTAAGCAGAGAAGAGAAACTACATCGTCTCGCCCTGTGCCACAAAGCTCGTGCATGTCGGAGCAAGGATTTGAACTCCACATTTGATTGTGGCGCTCTAACCAGTGCCCTCCATGCCGTAAAACTTGCAGTATCTAAAGATGACGGACCTAATGTAATACACAGCTCAGGGCTCCCCAGGGACTGCAGCCTACGAGTTGGGAACTTAAAGATTTAAAACGGACTGTGTTACGGAAGTTGAGTGGGTAAATCTCGTTCTTAAGTGTAGGGTGGTGAGAAAACATTACTCCCACCCCTCAACCTGGTGCTTACTAGAAGCATTGTGCTGTAGCTCTGTGGTCGCCCAGGATACCCTTGGCCATTGATAGTGGAGGGGATTCCCTGGTGTACTTTCCCAGTCCCTTTTGATCTTGCTCAGCTGGGGGGAGGGATGGGAGCAGGTGTTCTCATAGGGTTGCAGATGAGCCTGCTCTGTATGTGTGCATAAATGAGTACAGGCTGCTCTCTAGACTTGTCCCCGAGTTCCCTTGGGAAATCATGCTGAGAGGTCCTTTCCAGTAGCAGTGAAGGGTGAATGGGAGAGTAGCCTCTGCAGCTGCGTTTGCTTTTTTCTGGTTCTTTATAGATAATTGCTTTTAAGTACCTCTGTAGATTGCATATTGCAGGTCTTCTGACAGTGATAGTGACATATTTCATACTAGGAGCAAAGCAAAAGGCAGTTTTTCGGTTGTAACTTCTCTCCTCTCTCTCCAAGATTATCCTGAAGGCAATAATTCAAGTGATTATCTTGTTCAAACAACAACATATCTTCCGGAAAACTTCACATATTCACCATATCTACCCTGCCCAGAGAAACTGCCTTATATGCGTAAGTGTCATCTAATTTTGACTTAACTCTTTGCTTGTGTTGTAATAAAATAATAAAAACCACATGGTTTGAGCACACCACGCTCATATCATTACTGTGGGTGCTAATGTTCATGTTACGTAGCATGTAACCTCTGTTGTGAGTTTGATATGTATTCTTACAGGTTATTTTAAAATTATTTTTTACATAAATAGATGGTTAGATAGAAAATTATAATGCTGCAAAGGTTTTAAGAATTTATATAAATGGTCTTACAATTATAATTCTTTTTATAAGTTGCTTGCTTTTTGATACACAGATCTATTTATTTTTTTTAGCTACTGTATAGTACATCTTTAAATAAATGTTCCACATTTCAAATACCTTTTTCTCTACTGATGGAAATTTAGGTTATTTCAACTCTTTTGCTATCACAAAGTACTGTTATACGGAGCAGCGGGGTACAGGGTTCTCTGCACGTGGTGCATATGTGTTTGGGGGTTCAGACTTAGAACTGGAGTTGCTATATAGGCTGGCTTGGTTTAGCACCAAAGCAGCTGGACCAGTTTATATCCCCAACAGCAAAGCTTGAATGTACCATGTTGATATGGATGGACTTTAAAATTTTTGCTAATCTGATAAAAATATTTTTTCTAATCTGTTAGATAGAAAGTGATATCTCGTTGTTTGAATTTTCACCTTTCTTATTACTAGTGGGTTCAAATAGCTTTTTTTTTTTTAAGATTTATTTATTTATTTTAGAGAGAGAGAGAGAGAATGAGCAGAGCACAAGTAGGGGGAGGGGTAGAGGGAGAGGGAGAGAGAATCTCCAGCAGACTCCCCACTGAGCGCTGAGCCAGATACTACGCAGGGGCTCCATCTCATGATCCTGAGATCAGGACCTGAGCCAAAATCAAGAGTCAGACACTTAACCGACTGAACCAGCCAGGCTCCCCTCCAGTAACTTTTGATGTGTTTGTGAGTATTTTTGCATTTTCTCTCCTGTGACTCAGTTGTGTGCTTTATCAGTTCCATCTTAGTTAATTAGGTTTTCATATTAATTGATGGAAGTTCTTTACATATATTCCAACAGTGACCTATTGTCTGCTGTATGTGGTGTAACAGCTTTTCAAAGTCCCTGGCTTGTGTTTTCATTTTGTTTATGGAATCTTTTATAGAAGTTTAAGGTTACAGTGTTTCCAAGTGTATCAGTGATGTTATTTAAAGTTTTTGCTTTTTGGTCTTAAGAAAGCTTTCCTTATTACTTAAAGTCCATACAAATACTCTTATTTCCTTCTAACAGTTTTACCATTTTTTTAAAGATTTTTTTATTTATTTGAGAGAGAACGAACACTAGAGAGAGAGCATGCACGAGTCGGGCAGAGGGAGACGGAGAAGCATCAGCAGGGAGCATCAGCAGGGGGAGCAGCAGAGGGAGAGGGAAAAGCAGGCTTTTCCAACATGGGGCTCCATCCCAGGACCCTGAGATCATGACTTGAGCTGAAGGCAGATGCTTACCCGACTGAGCCACCCAGGCGTCCCTGTATTTAACTTTTGTGTATAATATGGGATAGAGATCAAGATAGTGAATTTTAAATGTGTATTTTTTTCAAATTTATGAAGACAATGGGTCCTCATTGAAAAGCCCGCTGTAACTGCTTTGAAGCTGCAGGGCTTGCATTCTGGTATTTTGTCCTTTGTATATTCCCTCCCCTAATTTTAAGCACACGTTTTCTATATAAGCTTGTATGTTAATTTTTATATAATTAAAATTTAAATGAACATCCTTGTGAATTGCTTGTTTACCCTTGGGTTCTAAAGTAGTATCTGAATGTGTTTTTCATGTCTTTACACGAGTATTCTTTATTGAGGAAATTAGCCTTCACCTGTCACTTGTAGGATTTTTTTTCAGTTTATTGTTGGTAAGTTGTTGACATTATATAGCTATAGTCAAAAAGAGTCACCTTTCATTGTCATCCAAGGCCATGGTTCTCAAATTTTGGGGTACATCAGAATCAGCTGGGTAGTCTTTTAAAATACAGATTGTTATGCTCCATTGTCAGAGTTTCAGACTCTGTAGATCTTGAGGAGGGTCTGAGAATCTTCATTTCTAACGAGTTCCTAGGTGCTAGTCACCCTTAGGCCACACTTTGAGACCCGCTAATCTAGAATAGATCCTGGCTCTACTGAACCTGGACAACTTTTATAATTCTTGGTCCCACCCCCTAAGTGATTTTCTTAACCTGACAGGGGGCATGGGTATTTAAAAAAAATTCTCAGTGGCTTCTAATCTTGCTGTCTCTTTGCTGTCTTATAGTAGAGAAGGAAGCTGTGATTTTTGTGGCTGTGTATGTCATTACTTTGTTATTGTAGCCTTGGTTTTCTAAAAATGAATATTTTTGTCTGTGCAGGACTGAAACCACTAAGTAACGTTCTGTTGAAATATTGATTACAATAATTTCATTTTCATAATTTGCATATTCAAGGATTTATAGTTTTAGGAAATCTTTCTGTTCTTGGTGTAGTTGCCATTTTCGTAATTACTGCTTTATGGGTACTAATTAAACTCTGTTTAAAAGCATCTGCCTGCCAGGCCTTCCTCCTTGCCCTGTCCTCCTCCAGGCCCATAACTCGTAATTGCTCCTGTCCTAGTGCTTGCGAGATCGTGTCAGGGCTGCTGGGCGCTGCCTTTTCTCTGAATGTCCTGGTGCTACTCTTCCTTGTCACTGCTTCCATCAGTCTTGCGTTCTTCACAAGAGAGAACCATGCTGGTTTGGCGAGCCACCTTGTCACATTGTCACAGAAGGCCTCCTCATGGGCTCCTGGCTTTGGGTCCGGCACCAACCCCGTGTCCAATTAGAAGATCGACCACATACCAATAACTGCTTAGAAAGGGGTTGTGGGTACAGCCAATGTAATGAGACTTCTTCCATCCAGGAGAGCCCCTTCACTTAGTCGTGTGACCTCTGCAAAGTAGAGCCTCACTTTACCTATCTGTAAAATATGGGATTATAATATCAACTTCACAGTTTTGCAAGGATACAAGCTTGAAGCTTGACAGACATTAGTGTGATATTCCCTTTCCTTCTCACTGCCTTGAGGGAACCATACTTTGTAATGATCAAGGGAATGAGAAACCTAGGAGAAATGGGTGGAGTTAAGGGGTTCTATACTTAGCTCTGCATCCCTAATTTATTTTTAATAGGATAATTTCCCATCCATAATAGAGAACAGCATACTAAAATACCTAGTGTAAAATCTTATTATAATATCATACAAAATAATTGAATACAATACTTTCCTAAATAATAGTTAAAGGAAGTCTGTGTAGGAAGAAGATCTCCTTCGATGAAAACTGTCCAAGTATGAATGATACTTAATTTTCCTATATTCACCAGAAGTGAAGTTAAGGTTTAGAATTGGTGTTTGATTATCCAGCTATAACTTTTTTTTAAGTTTTTCTCTAGTGTAACAATGGCAGTAGTAGCACTGGATTGCCATAAAGTTGGAACTTTCCCAATTGGAATTCAGATAAAATTGATTTCACGGATTTCAGCAATATTTTACATTCAATCAATTACACTCTAAAATCTATTTTAATGTGCGTTATTTATACAATATGAATGACTTCTTTGTCAGTGTTAGTATTTGTAGATTCTCCAGAGGGCTTAATCCACTTTCAGCTTTTTTAAAATTTATGTGAGACTGCATGCTAACAAAGTAAAGTAGAAATTTCACTTTATCTAGAGGTTAAAAATAGTAAGTGCTTAGCGTGGATGTTTTGATTTTTCTGTGTAAAGTAGAGCCAGAATATGTCATTTGTATACTTTGCAGTATAAAGGTAGACTTACCTAGAGTTTTCCTATCTTTTAATTCTTAATTCAAATAGAATACATTTGTGGCAACTTTCTTGTATTCTGTCCTTACTGTTTGTGGCATAGTTCTCTTTAGGGTTTAAACCTGATAATTGCAATATTTGCTAGACTTAGGAACATAACAAAAGCTATAAGGACTTTTTGAGATGAGTTTAAATAATTCAAATGAAAATCAGCAAAGAGGGAGAAGGTAAATAAATACACTTAAAGAGAAGCTCAAAGACTGCTTAATGTGACAAAGCATCATGCATGTGTTTTTGCGAGCAGGTAACATGCTCAGAGAAAGGCAGTGTGCTCATTGCTATGAATGGTTTATTGTGTGAAGGAAGGAGTCAGTGGTTCATTCTAGAAGGAGAAGGGAGATGTCATTGAGAGGGGTGTTGTAATTGGGTCTTGCGAGATCGTTCAGTAGGCAGCTGAGGTAGGTGTCAGAGCACAAAGGGTTCTGTGTTTTAAGACCAGAGGGTGGTCTGCTGTGACCAGGGTAGGTGCTTGGTGGGGTGTGTGGGAAGTGAGGCTGGACGGGGAGGTGAGGGGCCTTGAGGGCCGTGTGGGTTCCGTGAATCCCTGGGCATCCATGAGATAGGCCTCAGAGGGAGCAGAGCCCCTGAGCCTATATGCCAAGGGTTGATTTATGGCCTCTGTGCATATCTGGAGGGTGAGGGTGCACAGTTTTCAAAGAGTTGGGGGCAAAGAAGGCTAAAACAAAAACAAAAACCACTGCTTTAAGCAGATGAATAATGTGACTAAGATGGTATTCAGAAAGATGATTCTGATGAGAAGTTGAAAAATGGCTGAGAGTGGGGAAATACTAGAATCTGAAAGCCCAGTGAGGAGCTTTCTGAGGAGGCCAAGAGAAATGACAAGAGCATGTGCCGAAACCGTGGCATTGGAGGGAGGACGGGGCACCAAGGAGAAGCTCCAGGAGTGCCATTGGCCGGATGGATGTGGTGACCAACTAAGGGATCAGGGTTCATGAGCAGGTTTCTGGCTTGGCAGCTGTCACTGAAAGAAGTAATGCAGGATAAACATCACATTTGGAGAATGGGGAAGTTAATGAGGAAGTTAGTGTTGGGCCTGTTCTTTTTAGAGCTCAGTAGAGTTGATGTGGGGTCTGAATTTCATCAGAGAGATCCAGGCTGGAAA